CCAGTTCTTGATTCTCTTGGGAGGAGCTAGATTATCACACCATTTCAAACAGGAATTTTTATTATCATACGGTGAGAAAAGCCCAGATAGCATTAATAGTTTCTTTTCATTTCTGCTTTAAGTTGTGTTGGAACAAATGTTCTCAGGTGCAAGCTTGTTGGTATTAGTACACTTGTCACTAGCAAAGAAAAGCAGAAATGTTACTACAGTGCTTGTGCTTGAGTTAGAATGTGTAAGGCATTTTTATAAACTCAGAATATCTTTGTTACAGAAAAGAAGCCTGTATAACGCAGCTGAACTCTTTTTATTTATTTGATACAGGAATATATACTTACCATCTTCGCTGTTACATCTACCAGGCAAGAAATCTCATGGCTTTAGACAAAGACAGTTTTTCAGGTATGGAAAAGTCCTGCTAATGGTGCAGAAAACCAATTCTGCAATGAACTAGTAACTTGATTTACCTGCAGAATATCTTAAATCCTTAAGGTCTGTGCATAGGTCCCAGCTACTGAAACTACGCCATAAAGGAAGTCTCAGCTTCATTACGTGTGATCCAGATTTGGTTAGTACTGCCCCAGAAGCTGCCAATAAAAAGTGCTCTGAATGTGCAGCACCTGTTGCTACTAACAAATTCTCAGTGAGGGAATGGGAATTCAAATAAGGTCTGAATTTCCCATGACCAATCTCTTCCCTATGCGTTAGCTTCTCCGTCTAACCAAAGCCTACATATAGTTCCTAAGGTGTCATGCAGGAAGCTTGCACAAAAGCAACGATGAAGAAAGCTGGATGGCTTTATGGTACCAACTGCCTCTCAGTGTTCAGTATTTTATATAAATTCATTAGTGAGATGAACTTGTAGAAAACTACACTGTGCATTACTAATAAGCATGGCTTTTGTTTGTTTGTACAAGTGTACCTGTTGCCCTTTTATTTCCAGCTCTTAGGTATTCCAACAGTGTTGTATCCATTTGGCATCTTTGTAGTCAGGCTAATTCAATACTCAGGTTATCAAGTATTTCATTTTTGCTAAATAGAATTAAAATTCCACTGGGAAGTCAGAGAGCAAATTGAAATAAGATTCTGTAAGAATATGATTTTACACTTCCTTTAAATAAGTTCAGCCAAAGATAAACATGAAATGGGCAGCTTAGAATTTTTTTTCCCCATCAACCTCCATTTCCATCTGTCATGGTTTAGCCCCAGCCAGCAACTAAGCACCACGCAGCCGCTTGCTCACTCCCCCTACCCCAATGGGATGGGGGAGAGAATCAGAGGAGTAAGAGTGAGAAACACTCCTGGGTTGAGATAAGAACAGTTTAATAATTGAAATAAAGTAAAATGGTAATGATGATAATAACAATATAATAATGATAATAATAATAATATACAAAGCAAGTGATGCACAATGCAATTGCTCACCACCTGCCGACCGATACCCAGCCAGTTCCCGAGCAGCGATTGCTGCTCCCCGGCCAACCCCCCCCAGTTTATATACTGAGCATGAGGTCATATGGTATGGAATAGCCCTTTGGGCAGTTTGGGTCAGCTCCTGGCTGTGCCCCCTCCCAGTTTCTTGTGCACCTGGCAGAGCATGGGAAGCTGAAAAGTCCTTGACTAGCATAAGCAGTACTTAGCAACAACTAAAACATCAGTGTGTTATCAGCATTCTTCTCCTACTAAATCCAAAACACAGCACTATGCCTGCTACTAGGAAGAAAATTAACTCTATCCCAGCTGAAACCAGGACAGCGTCTTTCTTTTTCTCCCTGTTTTAATTAATAATTGAGTAAGTGTAATGCATTTGTTAATTTGTTACAGAAGATGTAGAGCTATAGATATTTTAGTGCTGTTTTCTGTAATGTACAGCTGCCTCTGTGTACTTACTGGTCTTACTTAAATATGCAGCACTTAAAAGCAATACAAAGAAACAATAAATGCCTCTAATTTGCATATGTAGAATTCAAGATAGGTACCTCGGATGCAGTCACACATAAACTAGCACATCTACATTTTATTTTCCTCTAAAACTAGTTTGAAGAGTTAGCCAAATTTTGTAAAACTCTGATCAGGTTTTATAAAACTCTGAACAACCAGAAGCTGTTGAAACTGACCTAAAGATAACCTTTAAAACAGCCTCTAGTCCTTAGTAATTGCAATTTGTACAGGAAATGTTAATGACCATCATCAGATACCTTCTACAGAGCTCTTGATGATTTAAAGACCTGCCAAACACTGGGTCTAGACCACTTTAATCATTCAGCTGTTTCACAAGAGGTTGCTATAAATAAGTATGTTTGAAACCAACGCTTGATCTGAGCAATATTGCCTGGGAGAATTTGTTGTCTGGCAACTAGTCAGAACTAGAATTATTTCTTTGTATTATTTATGAGGCTGTACAGTTGTATATCAATGGAGACAACAAAAAAAAGCTTCTACAGACAATATTTAAGAGGAGATTAGTATAGCCAGTGTTTCATTTTAGTTTTCAGGTTCTCTTTCTGATCTGCAAGATTTTTATCATTTTCATTTATTACTTTGCTAATCAACACTTATATAAAAGAAGCTATTTAGTAATCAAATGGAATTTGCTCTATTAAATGTAAATTATGTTTATGTGTGGGCTTTTGTTTTATATAGAGTGGCTTACAGAACTGGTAATGACAGAAGAAAAATAACATACTGTATGTGATAAAAATTGTGCTTGTGTGCCTTGTGGCTTGATGGGGTTTTGTTTGTCTGTAACTCTATGCTTTTAATCTTTGTATGATATTTCAGATCCGTATGCTCATGTTTCCTTCCTCCATCAAAGCAAAACAACTGAGATCATTCATTCTACTCTAAATCCTACATGGGACCAAACTCTCATATTTCATGAAATTGAGATCTATGGGGACCCACAGACAGTAGCCCAAAACCCACCTAATGTTGTTATTGAACTTTTTGACAGTGACCAAGTGGTAGGTGAAGGCTTTTTACCCTGATTGCTTTTTTATTTATTTATATTAATTCAGAATAACATTAATGGCTATGATTGCTATTTTCGGTTGCAGGGTAAAGACGAATTCCTTGGAAGAAGTGTTTGTTCCCCCATGGTCAAGTTAATCCCAGAAGAGGACATCACACCAAAACTGCTGTGGTATCCTGTAACAAATAATGGCAAAGCTAGTGGAGACATTCTTTTTGCTGCAGAACTTATTTTGAAGGACAAGGTATATATATATTTTTTGTGTGTTCATATATAATATAATATGATATACTACATGTCCTTTCAGAGTAAGTCATAATGTGAAGAATTGTCTTAATACTTGCAAGTCATTTAATTTAAGGAAGATGAGAGAAACTAACACTCACGTTTGTGTCTTAATAGGGTGGTGCGAACCTTCCAATTCTTCCATCACAAAGAGCACCAAAGCTTTACATGGTACCTCAAGGAATCAGACCAGTAGTTCAACTCACTGCTGTTGAGGTATGGTTTATTCTTAAACTAACTGAATACAAGTACAGTCATTTCATCCTCTAGTTTGTGTATTTGCTTCAAGAAAAAATATATATTAAGAAATATGGGGGATTTTTTAAAGTGTTTTTTAGTTTCTTTTTTTCCATTAACTTTCCTAGAACAACAACCTTGAAGTATTTTACCAGTCACATTTTATTATTGAAAAGACTTAATTTCTTCTTTTGTACTTTTTAAGTATCGTATTAAGCATATTGATATCTCTCCCACTTTTCCTTATGTTGGATTTTACTTCGCAGATTCTGGCTTGGGGGTTGCGGAACATGAAAAACTACCAACTGGCACCTGTTATGTCTCCAAGTCTCATTGTGGAATGTGGGGGTGAAATGGTGGAATCTGTCGTGATCAAAAACCTCAAAAAGACACCAAATTTTCCATCTTCTGTTCTCTTCATGAAAGTTGTACGTTGCAAAAAAACTATATACCAGCTATCTATAGCAAAATCAGTTATCCCACACTTTTAAAGGTCAAGGATTTGTTATGCAAGAATGAACAGAAAAATTTGCAAATCCTTTTTTGGCTTAACATAAGGAATTTACTGAGCCTGAAAATTCTAATAGATATCATGTAAACATATCTGTACAGTCATTGATAAATTATACAATTTTATATGCACAATCCAGTGCAGTATATATATATTTGTTTGAAAAGGCATCAATTTACCTGTAGATGTGTGGCTACTTTACTACTCCTAGGATGGGAGCTGTGCAAGAGTCAAGAAAATTCAAGATTTCAGGCAATTAAAATTATTCTTACTGACTTTTATTGAATCATAATATAAGGTTAGAAATTTTCATTCACCATACAGCCATAGAACATAGTAGTTCAATATTAAGTAAATGAAGTAACAGCTCTAATTAAGGGGGAAATCTTTTATTCTTCATTTTCCTTCTGTTTGCATTATAAACAAACTCTAACCTTTCATTTGTAGCTTTTGCCAAAAGAGGAGTTATACAGTCCATCTCTTGTTATTAAAGTAATAGACCACAGACCATTTGGACGGAAGCCCATCGTGGGACAGTGTACTATTGATTTACTGGAAAGCTTTCGCTGTGACCCCTACACTACTAAAGAAGACATTGCACCACAACTGAAAGGTAGACAGCTGAAAAATGAAAAGTTCTACTTTCTTATGAAATGCTCGAATAACCTATCTTCTGGGTTTACTCTGCATACTGTACTAATGAATAGCCATCTCATGTTGTGTACTTATTTAGAGATAGTGTGATCTGAAAGAGAAAAAAAATCTTAACTCGGAGTATTAATTCGTGCAATATTCTGTGGAGCATAAGAGGACAGAGTGCAAAGGCAAGTCCACTCTCAGACTTAGTGTACTGGTTCCCTGAAGTTCCTCTTTAGTATCAACTTGGAATTTAACTACTTGCAGATCACCCCTACACTAAGTACCAAAGTAATGATCCAGTATTCCAGCAAGAATGCTCTGAATACAATGCTGACATTTTCTTCTATATTTTTTTCCAAGTTTCACTCTTTTTTTAATTCCTCATATTTGAGAAATGTTTGCATATCCTGCACAAAAATATATTGTGTGTTTTTGCAAAAAATGGCAACTAATTGCTTTCTTTAGAAGATCAACCATACAGCCAATGAATTATTTTACATCTTCTGTAACTGTCTGGATTTCAAATCTGATGAAAAAGCTTAGTAAGATATTTTTCCTACACCATATTGCCTTAATAAAATCTTTGGCTTACAGTTAGTCTACTCTCTGCTGCACCTCGCCAGGATACGGTAATTGAAATGGAAGACACACAGCCACTGCTAGCAGCTCAGGTAATCTTTGAAATTTGATGCTTGACTTTCTTCTTCAGATCTGTGATTTCTGAGAAACTATCTAGACAGCAAAATTGTCAGAAACATATGCAACCTTCTGGAAAGTCATATGGAACAAAGCTACTTTGTGACAGGAAAGCAAAGGAAATATGTTAATCATTTTAACCTCTGTTTTCATATAGTAAACATCAAACTATTGCTTTTTGTGCATGGTAAAGTTCACCCACTAGCTTAAGAATGAATTCACTTGTTCAATAGCTACTGAAAGCATATGATAGAACATTACCCAGTTGTCCACAGGTGATGGTTAGAGCAGCCTAATCTTGCACAGACTGCACAGTTCTAAATAAAGGAGCTGGAAGTAGGTGTATGCTTTGGTGGGTACAGAATCAAAGCCATGGTTACACAGACCTTCAGCCATTCATTTTATCACAGTTGTGGTTTTGCCTCTCTTACCATGAAGTCGTCCAAAACTGGTACCACTGAAACATTTTTTTCTGCACTAACACTTTTTTTTTTTCCTTTTCTGTTGTGCCTTGTGGATCTCTACTGCTCTGATTGTTCTTCCTTAATTTCTTCTTCTGTATCTTAATGTCATGATATTCAGACTCTAATTAAAGTATCTCATAGGCCATGTTCTTGTATTTACTTTTATCATACCTGTAAATTGTCCTTAATATTTAATTTAGAACAGTCTCTAACTTTTATCTGAATTAGGCCTTCTGTTCTAATATAAATGCTTTGTAGGTGGTACAGTGAATTTTTATTTCCTTTAAAAATTTTAAGAAAAGAGATTAAAAAAAATAAAGAAAACTTAGCACTTTGAACTCACTGGCAAAATTGATTGAATTCGTGTAGTTGATTTCAACTATACGAGGGAAAATTTTAAATGCTACATAAGACAAAACAATTTATTTTAGAGTTTGACATCACCTGAGCCAAATATATTGTAACACTAGATACAGTGATAGCATCCATATGAGAGAGGAAAGAATATTCGAAACAATTCAAGTTGAAATAAGTACAACTGTGGAAAGTGTAGGTGATATGCAGACAACACCCTGAGGACACAAAATGCCAAAATGTCATCAATTACATTCCAATTTCCAGTGTTTAAGCAGTATGTCAACAGCACTCAGCAAAATGGCTTCTCCAACAACAGTGCATGTATGTATGTACAGAGCTAATGCATGGAGATGACCAGAACAGGGTTGGATGCGGGAAGAATGTTTATGTGATGTGGTCATGAGGCTGTACTTCTCCTGGCAATTATTCCATAGAGAGATTTTGGAGGAGATAATGCTCATAAGTCTAGTATGATTAGTTGCAAATATTAAGGTATCCTTCTTCTGGAAGTCTTACTATGTGTGCACGATTTGTATGAACTATTAAAAACTTTTTCTGTGTGTCAGCTTATTTGGAATCTGTGTACTAAAAGCACCAAAATCAACAGGAATTATTTAACCATACTATGAATATTTAAACTTTGTTTAAAAGTCTACTCTTTGGAGACTAAAATAAATCTACAGTAAATAAAATTCTAACTAACTTTTCTAGGGATGCACTGTATCTCCTAATTTTTTTTCCCATAATTTCTAGATGTTCAAAAAGCTAATAGTTTATTGTTAGTGACTTGAAAACTTCATATATAACAATCTACAGTGAAGTCACTGGGTACATTAAAAAAAAAGGGCAGTAACCGTTACATGATCTTTACTATGTGAATATTTCACTCCAAAATCTCAAATTTATCATATGGCATTTTATTCTGTGTTTTGGCATTCTGTGAGCACATCCTGCTTACCAGTTTTAGTAACAGTAATATTTAAATATTGAAGACTCATTATTTGCTTTGGGAATTTTTAAAGAAGGTCTTAGGGTTTTTGATTGTTTTTTTTTCTTAACCTCTTCTTCCCAAAGCTACCAGGTGCATTATTTGAAGAGACATTTGATGGTATATCAAGGGGAAAAAAAAAAAACCCAAACCCACAAACCCTGATTTAAACTCTTCCAACATTATTATTTGATGAAAGATTCAGAGTTCTACACAATATATTTTGTGAAAAGGCTTTAAATTGGGAATTTAAATTATTATTGCATAATTATGCAAGCTACCCATCATGTTGTCAACATTACAAAACAGTGTTTAAACAAAGTCAAATTTAAATATGCCAAAGTATTCAAAATTACCTCATGAATTCTTCCTGCTAGTTTTGCAAATCATTAATTATATGGTTTCTGAGAATAAATCACTCCAATTGCCTTTAGAAAATCTGACAGTCCCATGCAAATCTGAAAAAAATTATGCTGTATTTCTGATTTGAAGTTAGAAAAAAACTCTAAAATACAGTAGACCTAACATCCCAGCAGGATAATTACTTACAGAATAGAAATGTAAATAAGTATGATATACCAGAGTGATGTCCTGACCTATTGGCGCATTTGGCTTGTATTCATAGAATGTTTTGCATATTTCTTCTGCTTTGCACAAAAAATTATGGATTATGACTTTAAATTAAAACACAAGGTATAATATATAAACACTAGCACAAATCATACTTGCTAATCATGGCTTCCACGTGGGCTGCATGATGCTTGCTCTTAATGGACTATTGGGTCATAATTACGGTATCTGTGATTTAACAGGTGAAGCATTTTGGATTGTGCAGATTGTTATTACACTTATACAGATGAACCTATAGACACATCTACTGGTTGTTACTGTACTTTGTAATTCTTCACCTTTTTTTTCAGACTCCTGAAAATCCACAGCCTGTAAACAAATTAAAAAATGATAGTAGAACGAAAAGGGAATAGGCTGTTGAGCATTAGCAAATTGTTTTATAAAGAAGTAAATATTCCAAAAGGGCAAAAAAAAAATCACTTGAATTTTATGTATGTGAAGTTTTTTTGGAAAAGAATCTCTGGAATAGATTCAGTTTTGTAAGTGCTCTTAAAAACATTTTTCATGTGAAATAAATCAGATCCAGTGCTCTCTGCAACCACAGATGAAAGCAGGGAATGATGCTATTGTGGACATCAATAAATAGAATCCAGAGTGCAACACTGCAATCATACAATAAAAAAACCAAGTTTCTCTCAGTTTTGCTTTGTTATGTGAAGAACAAAGCACAAGGTGATAATGTCTTAGAGTCCTGAAAACTTGCTTTTTAAAATTTCTATATATATGCTCCAGTTTAATATCTAGGACATACTGACAGCAGAAAAAAAAAAAAAAAGCTAAACACATGGTGTCTGAATATTCTTCAAAAGTATTTATAAATATTGATGTTAGTAACTTACTTTTTATATATATAAAAATACACAAACCCCTAAACTTTTAAAGCCTATTTAACTGTATAAAATTCTACAAGTCGTATCCTTACCATTGTTTTTATTTTGCTTTTTTTTATGAATTGATCCTCATGGTCAGCTTACAGAAAAGGTAATGTATACTACTTTTAAAAATCTACACATTGCTTTCTTGTAAATGAGATCTCCAATTGAAAAGCCATATATCAATACTGCCTCCTAAATTAGAATTTTAAGCATGTGGGTGAGAACAGTGATCTCTGAAAATGTTTGACATAAAACCTACAATCAACTTGTAAAATGGTAAATTTAGGAAAAATATGCAAGACTGAAATAATAACCCGTAGATATTAAAAAAAAACACCTCACACTTAATGATCTGTATAACACTTTAAGACTCTTTAAATCCAAACACTCTTAAGATTTTTTCAAATTTGCACAGTGAATGAATAGTATTCATTCTATTCATTCACAGGGAATGAATACTATTCATTACTATTTGAAGTATGTTTTCAGGTGCAAATAATGATATTATGCAGTCCCTATGGATAAATACAGAAAATAGCACTCTGTTGAACAAAGTGATTATCAGACTTAAATAAATAAAAATATAAAAAAATCCCACAGAAATACTGTCTTAGTGGAATGTATAGATTGCTAGCATCTAGGGTTTCATGAAACTCATTGAAGTATTATTTTTAAGAGGGAAAGACTCGCTGCTCCTTCTTTTCAGCTGCATTTGGTTAACATTAGATAGATGTCCAGCTGCAAGATTCTGTCATGATACAGATAATCTGCACTGGTTTTAATGGAATGAGGTATGGTTAGAACAGTTACAGGTCTGTCCCAGTGTTGTTATATGGCAACAGTTCTGAAATAAATGGCAATGCTGAAAGCAAACTAACACATGCATCCCTCAGGAAAAAGTTTTAAACATGTTCACTGTAGTTTTTACAGTCACGCAATTCCTGTAATGAATACCAGCTATGATGGTGTTTTTCCTTAACAGTTGAAACAATGACTGCACCAGCTCAGTGTGCATTCACTTCCTCTGAGTTCAGTAATCTAGAACTTAGGTGGCTAGGCTGTGCTGCACTGCCAGAAGATGGAGGAGAGAAATATACACAGCTCCAGAAATCAGTCCTTTGAGATAGATATCTAGGTACCAGTAATTAATTGTTTGCTTGGAGATGGCTGGCTGTTGACTATCAACGCAGCTGGACTAGATACATAAACTTGGGTAAGAGAAATTCCACCTTTTTAGCCTTAATGTTTACATTCTAATTCTCCTTCAGATGAACCTTTAATATTAGTTAACTGATAATAAGTTTTAGAGTAAGCTTCTTTTAGTGTGCTTAATTGTTCATTGTTTCTGCTGTACAGCATGATATAAAAGAGGCTTTATCTCCCAATAAAAGACTTTTTTGTTTGCTTTTCTTTCAGGAGGAAGAAATTGTTGATTGGTGGAGCAAATTTTATGCTTCAGTAGGAGAACATGAAAAATGTGGACAGTATATTAAAAAAGGATATGACACTTTAAAGGTATTGCTCAGGATAAAATAAACATACCTCAATGTTTATAGGCCTAAAACCTGGTCAGAGCTGTGCCTTTTGGTTTTTTAAATGATCTTCAAAATTTAACTGTACATGATTTCCTGTAAAGGTCCATTACTAATGCATGTGATGAAATGAGGGTTTTAAGAAGATATCTTTGCTTCTTTTCTGCTTAACTACACTTACTAAGAGTTGTATTAAGAGTTTAATCTAACCTTCAGTCAAATGGACTTTAACTCTTGACTTCTCTGGGTGCCAAGCAGATCCTAAATAAACGTACACATTGAGAAAGTATGAACGCAGAAGATCAGTACTTTTACTGTTTGTTGGTTAAAAGTTGAAGCCAGACGCCTTTCATTTCCCATCTAATACGCCTAACAGAGAAAATAAAGATAAGCTTGTGAAATGCTATTTACTCTGGTTTTAACAAGGCCTGAATTAAGTTTGGTAGCATGTTCTCCAAACATTGCATTTGCTTCCACTTTGATGTAGAAGTAAAAATAGATCCAAATGCTTTGGTTCCTTAAGATATTCCATCAAACATACAATACAGTTTGCAATGCCACAAGGGTGGATCTGATATGTATGGTAATTTCTAAACTGCACTTTTCTTCCTTTTCCTTTTCTTTTTTTAAGGTGTATGACTGTGAATTGGAAAAAGTACCTGAATTTAATAGCTTAACAGACTTCTGTGATACATTTAAACTATACAGAGGCAAATCTGAGGACAGTGATGATCCGTCAGTGGTTGGGGAATTCAAGGTAAATTTCAAATAATGGGGAACAACCAAATGGTAGATGCAGTCTTTTGTATGTAAGTGGTTATCACTTAAGGAAGTCTACATGCAAGCATTTCAGCTGAAGTATGGATGCATGCATTAATAGGGGCAACAGGTGCTCGTAAGTACTTAGGTACAGGCCCTTCTTTTTCAAGGAAAGCACAGCTACACATTGCTCACACTAAATGTGATACATGTTAATTTAAAAGAAATATCATTTCTGCTAATGTGATCTTCCCTGGTACCTGTGGAACAGAACCTTCCCAGATAACCTCTAGAACACCTGCAGATGTTCTGAGTGAAGTACATTTTTAGAATTAATTTGGAAACGGTATTTTGTACTATTTCTGTGACTCTGCCTATGACTTTTAAAGATTAAAATAATGTTAACATGTGTAAAAAAAACCCAAACAAACAAACAAAAACAAAAAACCCAAAAGTTAAATGATGCTTTTGGAGAGGGAAACAAATATGACATATGTGTTAGGTATTCTCAGCTGGACCAAACTGAGTAATTGCATTGAAATCAAAAGAGCTGTATTGATTTAAATCGGCTAAGGATATAACCTTTGCCTTTGTAGTGAGTCTTATCCAAAACACACTAAAGTAAAACAAAAGACTTCTAAGTGACTGTGGATCAGGCTATAATTTTGCTACTCCTATATAAAACAGAGTGTGTATGTGTAGGATAAATAAGAAAAAACAAACCTAGCAGAGTGACTTTTCTACATTTATCCTGACTGAGTCTTTATTATTTTTTAGGGATCCTTTAAAATCTATGCATTACCTGATGATCCCACTATTCCAGCTCCTCCTCGCCAGTTCCGTGAGCTACCAGACAGTGGTCCTCAGGAGTGTATTGTGCGAATTTATATTGTTCGAGCTTTGCAGCTTCAACCCCAGGATAATAATGGGCTGGTGAGACTTTTTGCTTTTAGAATGACTGTGAGCTAACTCTGCTGTAGTATATTTTTTAAAAAGTTAGTCTTGATAACTATTTCTTAACAATATTTTTTTCTTATTTTAAATAGTGTGATCCTTATATAAAAATATCCCTAAGTAAAAAAGTAATTGAAGACAGAGATAATTATGTGCCTAATACTCTCAACCCGATTTTTGGCAGGTAACAAACTTTTTTGCATTTTCAGTGTATTGTATTTTATTGTATTTTTTTGTTTTCCTATTTTTTAAGATAAACCATTATTTGAAATATCCAATGCTCTATTCCTAGTTATATACTGATGGTTAATTGTGAGTAAAGTTGCATAAGGCATTTCCCTTTGAAATCATTGGACCACACAGGTGTTTGGCTAGTCTATAGATTTTCTGTATCACATGGGTAGATTGCACAAAGTCAAACAATGTGTATATGTTAAAACCGCCCTGTGTTATGCATACAAGAATAACAAAATATGCTTCTAGAATATGGGAAAAGTTTTAACTCTGAAAACTACTTGGATGTCACAATGAGTAATCAGCTTAACATGTATTCCCAGTACACTGGTCTTTCCTTCCAAGGCTAATGGTATCTTTGAAATATATGAATAGAAAAATACTAATTAGGAACAGAGAGGTTACATCATCTTTATAACTACTAATGAATTCTGGGTCTGATTCGGTGTCCGGAGTTAGAAGAGGATTTACATTAGAAAGTTAGGAGAGGAGGACTAGAAGGATCATAAAGAGTTTGGAAAGCATACTTTGCAATGACATGCTACAGGATTTCAGTTGTTCAGATTATGCAAAGAAAGAGAGAGCAAAGAGACTTGATTACAGGTGCAAAGTACCTTCAAAATTCCAAGTTTTTCCAGAATGATTCTGGAAGTCAAAGTTTAAAGTTAGACTAGAAATAAAATAAACAAACAAACAAAAGATGCAGAGAATAATTAACCATGGAATACTTTACCTCAAGGGTAATGGATTCAGCAGCAGTAGGAACTATGAGGCTGCACATCTTGAAAGTAAATTCAGAGAATTAATTGGAGAAAACTCTATATTTTGTTTTGTGTAGGATGGCTAGATGACAGAATAATCCCTTCTAGTCATAGAAGCTAAACATTTGGACCATATTTTTTAAGGTTCCAACTGTGTATTCTGGTAAAAAAATTTAAAATTTCTAATCATACAGAAACTATGGATTGAACAACTATCCATTTTACAGAGTGGCTGGCAGAACCACTGTTTCTTTCTTGGTCCCAATTCAAGCTGCTGCAGAGAAAACATCTAAGTAATACATTGTGCAGAAAGGAAGGATGTAATATCCATAGGAGTACAAACAGAATTATTAATAAGCGCAAATAGAAATAGGAGCATGAGTGGTAACTACTGCTACATTTATCAGCATTGGAAGCATCCCTTTAATATCTTTAAAGGCTATTGCTCAAAAATAAACTAAAAAGTGGATTTTTAAGGGTGGGGGTTTTTTTTAAGTTTAAAAATAAAAAGTATTGCTCAAAGAGCAATAGTGTTAACCGGACATTTTTGTGTTTAGAATGTATGAACTCAGCTGCTTCTTGCCTCAAGAAAAGGATCTGAAAATTTCAGTCTATGACTATGACACATTGACTCGTGATGAAAAAGTGGGTGAAACCATAATTGATCTTGAGAACAGATTCCTTTCTCGTTATGGATCTCACTGCGGCATCCCACAGCAGTATTGCATGTAAGTAATTTTGTCTATTGAAAATTTGTATTTGTTAGATCTACTACCCAGTCTCTGTAAAAAGTCTGGGCTTCCTTCATCTTAATTATATGGTTAAAAAACAATGCTATGGCTTCTCATGGGTGTTTGTTGTGCTCACTCTATCATCTGAATTCCAAGTTAAGCTGCAAAGTCTTCAGAAGAGCCTTGGCTGAAAACCATGATGTCAAACATTTTAATATTCTCTTTATATGGTAATGTGTGTTATTTCTGTCCAGAAAACACACACGTAACAGAATTTTCTGACCTACTCATGGAAATAAATGTGAAAGCATCTATTAGTGTAAATTATTTTGATATGTAAAGAAAAAAGCACTCTCTCTTGAAGGTAATTGAGCTGGTACAAAATTATGTCACTGTATCAAACTCGAGGCCTCAATCTAGGCAGTTACAGTGCTGCCCTTTCTGAATTAGTTTAATACATTTTACATGATGTGTAAATGCCCTGAATGATGAATAATTTTAGGATGTGTTTCTGTTGCTTTCCTAAAAGTTCAGGTGTGAATACCTGGCGTGATCAACTAAAACCAACCCAGTTATTGCAAAATGTAGCCAGGTTTAAAGGCTATGCTCCTCCTGTCCTCTCTGAGAACGGTAGAAAGATTAACTACGGGGGACGAGACTATACTTTGGAGGAAGCTGGTGAGCTTGTTCACTTATTTTATATTTATGTCTTAAATTCATATTGATACAAATATAAAAAATTTCAGTTATTTATGGAAAATTAGAAAAAATCTTTGAATTTTAATGCTGAGCACAGTTTTCTACTCAATTTTAAATAGCTGGGTTTAAATTTTTTAAAATTTCAAATGTAAATTCTGGTTCATGAGCCCCTGTTCTTTTTCCATTTCTTTTATTTCAGAAGCTAACAAAATTTTGCACCAGCATCTTGGTC